TTCCGCGGGTCCCTTCCCTTTGTCGGCAGCAAAGCTTCTGGAGGAGGAGGAGGCGCTCAGATTTTTTGGTTTGGAGCTGATGCTGGCTGAGGGGATGTGGCTGTTCCTTTCGTGTGACTCGGTTTCCTGTCACCCTTTTGCCAAAGGAGCTTTCTCTTTTTGGTAGGCAACCTGAGAAGGAAATCAAACACGAGCAGTCCTTCAGCCAGCCTAGTGAGGAATCCCTGGAGGCCATAGCCAAGGAGCTGGAGCTGGAGCTGGAGCAAGAGAAAATGCATTTATTGCAAGCAAAGAAGGAGAAAATTCAGCAGTTCCAGGAGGAGATGAGGCAGCAGGAGGAGGAGGAGGCTCAGAAGCTTCATCAGCAAAAAGAAAAATCCCTCAGGTACTTTCCGCTTTTACTCTGTCTCCCCGTTTTTTCTCCTACAAGCCTTTCCTGGCTGCGGTTTCATTGCCGGTGGCCGCAGGCTTGTGCTGTTACAGGCCACCACCTTGAAAGAGGTGCTGCTTTGCAGAGTTTTGGGCAAAGGAGGCAGGGCCAAGGCTTTTGGGGAGGAGGAGCACGGGGCTGTTTGCCCGGCACAGGCAGTCCTGTGCGCGAGAGCATCCTCCCACGTCCTGCAGGACTCGATGCACGTGCAGCTTCCAGAGCTCGGAACCTGCCTCTTATTGGTAACCTGGGAAGAGTTCCCAGTCCAGCGCGTGGAGCTTTACCGCCTGGCAGACGTTCAGATCCTGGGCTAAATGGTAGGAACAGGACTGGAAATGGGAGCATTAGAGGAGATGAGATTACCCCAGAGGAGCTCTCTGAAGCTCTGGTACTGTGTGTTTTACAGAGGGGCATCCAAACAAGACCTTAAGGAATAGGGTATGGATGTCTGTGTGGAAGCCAGGCAGTGCGCGAGGGTCTGACAGCACTCTGGGCAGCGGAATAGCACTGCGAGCCGTGTCCTCTCCCTGGGGAAGGCTCGTATTTTATTTCAGGTGGTCTTGATATGTATGTTCTTAGCACAGCACGCCAGCCAGCAGCAGTATCTTGACGTGAAATGTCATGGGAATGCTGTCTTGGGTGCGAAGGCAGACGCGCAAATGGCACCCGAAGGGAAAAATGTAATAATAAAGCAGTAGTAATAAGGGTGCCAGATCAAAATAGGAACCTTACGGATGTCCTAATGCATCCGGGTACCTTGGCTGGGAGCCCGCTGCCATTTAATAGGAGTTGATTTCATTTACCTGGGGAAAAAAAAAACCCCAATCAAAATCTATGTGCCACCTATGATGATTTTAAAAATGCGCCGCAGAAGTTTGGTGCTCAGGGCCGCGTCTCCCCTGCCAGCAGCCAGGTTCTGAAGGTGTGGAGGAGAATTAATGGTCTGGAGCCCTGGGAACGCATCGCTCGGGCAGGCAGAGATAGCGGGAGCAGCAGCTGATCTGTCGGCCCTGGGGAGGTGGTTTGAAGATATTAAAGCCTCCTGAGCCTCTTCTCCTTTTTTTTTTCCTGGCTGCTCATCTCTCAGGACTCTAAAAGCAGACTTGGCAAAGGTGTCTGAGGAGGAAGAGTTGCGTGTCAGAAAGGAAGAAGCTGAGAGGCTCTCAAAGCTGCGAGCCAGAATCACCTCGGAGACCGAGGCAGAGGAGGAGAAGATAAGGTGAAAAGTTTTGCCGCCGTCCCTGGGGGGACAAACTTTGCTGGTTTGGGAGGGAGGCACCTTGCGTGCCACCAGCAACTGCTCACAGCAGAGGTTCTAGCTTGGCTGAGCCTCCCAGGGCGGGTACCCTGCCTTGGTAAGTACGGCGCCCTCGCTACGATGCTGCAGGCGCTGGGGAGCCGTGTGTCGACAGAAGGGAAAACCGACGGGCCTTAGCGGTAACGGCTCTGCCCCCTCGCAGCTGATCCAACTTTGCTAAATAGACGTATGAGTGTGCTGAGAGGTGGTGCTGTAACGCTGGACCAGGCACAGCTCCGGGACGCACAAGAAGTGGCATTACAGGGGTGGCTGCGCTCGGCAGCGGGGCTTGGCTTGGGGGGATGGCTCCGTCGAATGGGCCCGTCGGAACAACTGGAGGAAGCAGAAGAGGCAGACACTGGAAAACTTTTGCTATTTCTTTTTTGCTTAGCTGGCAGATGTGCCTCCACCTGACCGCTCTGCTCTTTATGTCCAAGGCCTTAGATGATGCACGTGGTGCTGTGGTTCTTGGTTTCTTCCGGCTTGCGTGCCCTATCCCGTAGCAGCGTCTTCCGTCAGCTCTGCTTCCTAAACGGAGCCCAGCGGTAAAGCACCGACTTCTGACTTGCTTCTGTCTCTGTGTTCTTGTTGCAAACCTACCAGGGCAGAGCAGGAGGTCGCGCTGCAGAAACTAAGAGAAGAATGGGAGTCCCTGCAGGTGATGGAGAAGGAGAACCTGGAGAGGAAGCAGCGGCTTGTTGTGGAGGAAATGAAGCTGGAAATGGAGGAAGCTCAGCAGAAAGAGATGATCGGGCTGGAGCAAGAGAAGGAACGATTCCTGAGTGAGCTCAAGGAGAGATTAGACAGCGAAAAGAAGAAGGTGAGGTGTTTATTGCCAGCTGGGGTCAGACCCACGCTGCTCGTGCTGACCTGGCTTGCGTTGCAATGCTGAAGTGTGGAGATTAAAGAACGCCTGCATGTCCTTCAGTAACGACTGCCTTAAACCATAGAGGCAAGCTGTTAGGCGTGCTGTTAGAGGCATGCCTGAGGTGGGCAGGAGCACTCCCCCCCGTTTTTATTCCAGTGGTGATTAAATAACATTTATTTACGTGGCCACATTGCATCTGACAAGCAGAAAAGTCACCGAGTGTCTCTGCCAAGCTAAACCAAGCCATTTTATCAGACCAGAATACCTCTTTGGCTGCGGCTTTAGTCCTCAGGAGAGCTTGGGGAGTTCTTGGACGGGCGCAGGCTGTAGCCCTTCCAGCACAGCACAACTGAGATCTTTTTTTTGGGGGGGGGGGGAAGCACATGGAGAGCAAAGGCACTTTGTGTGTAATCCAGTTTGAAAGGGGTCGACCGTTGTGCTTTTTTAACGCTTAGATGTTAATTGCAAATACGTCTTGCGCAGCGTGGCCCCGTAAGTAGAGGTTTTCTACAGCTGGTCTTGCTCGTGTTCCTGTAGGCAGTAGAAGAGCTAGAGACGCAGTTTGCAACCGAACTCCAGCAGGTGAAATCTGCAGCGGAAGAGAAGCATCGTAAGGTAAAAGATGGTGTCCTTAGCATGTAAATTGGGTTTTCTTTTTCCGCACACTGCCACCAAAGGTGGCCAGGGAGGGTGGCATTAATTTTTTTCCACTTTCTAAATGTGGTTCTGGTCTGGCTCAGCATTTGGGCGCGCTCCAAGTAGGGGGCGGTGAGACTGCACTCGCTGGTCTTTGCCATGGCGCTTGCTCTCTGTAGGAGGGCACTAAATGGATCCTGGCAGAAGGGTGACAAGTCTCCGTGGGTGGCTTTCACGGCAGGTCATTTCCAGCCTGCGAGCCCAGATAGCAGAGGCGCAGAGGAGCGAGGAGGCTCGGCTGCGTGACGACTTGCAGAAAGCAGAGCAGAAAGTGCAGCAAAAAGCGTATCAAGTAACAGCATATGAACACGAGGCAAGTATTCATCTTGGGTTGCTGAAGGTTCTTCACCCTCTCTCCTTGGACGCGTGGTGAGCTCTGAGAGGCTGCGTCCCTGCCCAGGGGGGATGGTGGTGCCTTAGAGGAAAGGAGACCCCTGCAGCATCTCGCCTCCCCCCGGTGCTTGCCTTGTACCCCCCTCCCCCGGGTCACGGCCTGGTCCCACCTGCAGGGTACTCTGAAGCCTTCTGCTCGTGCGAGCGGCTGATCTCCTGGGGCCACCGTGCTGTGGTTCAGGCAAGTAGCCGTCCGTGTTATCCCTGCAGCTCGGCGAGCTGATGAGAGAGAAACGCCAGGAAGTGGAGAAAGACCATGAGAGGAGAATGGAGAGGATGAAAGAGGAGCACCAAGAGGCCCTAGCACGGATTCGGATTCAGTACGAGGAGGAGGTACTGCTGGGGGGAGCGGAGAATTTGGGAGGGGACTGCAGCGGCTGGCTCAGGCGGGCTGTACCCGGGCTGGCACTGCTGCTTGCCGGACCTGCCTGCCCCAGCCGCTCCCGGAGCTGGGAATCTCCCTTCTCCTAGGAGAACTGGGCACTGGTGCCATGATGTAAAATGAGTTTAGGCTGGGCTTACAAGGATAAGCTGTCAAAACACTCTCCGTGCAGGCAACGTCCTCATGCATTTGTGGACTTCTGTCCGAGGGAAGAAAGGTTTTTGTTTGCTGAATTTGGCGTTTGCTCGGGAGCTGCCGTGGGCTGGGCTGGCTTTCCAGAGGGTGCGTGTCCTGTGTGTTCCCGCTGGCCTGCTGGAGAACCCTGGGCTTCACTCGGCCGCTTCTCTTGCTTGTGTTTTGCAACAAACAGGAGAGGAAGCAAAGAGCGGAGCTGTTCGAAGGCCTGCGAAGCGAGATGGCGCGCCTCCGCCAGCTCCATGAGGCGGAGGTGAAGGCGCTGCAGGCAGAGCTGGGCGAGCGCCTTGAAGCGTTGCAGCGCAGGCACCGGGAGAAGGTGAGGACACCCCTCTGCCGAGCGCTCGGCTGGGACGTGGCTGCCTGGGGACAGCCTGGGTATGGCAATGCCTCAGCGTGCCCGCCACCCTCTGCAGCCCAGGGGGACAGAGGGGGCAGGTCACATTTTCCCAGTTGCCCTTGTTCCTCCTGGTGGCGGATCTCTGCCTGGTGAGTGAGGAGCTTGTGCCTTTCTTTCACTCCGCATCCCTGTGCAGGAAAGAAAACTCCAGGACTCAGAAAACGAGCTGGACGTGCGCCTGAAGAACGTCAAGGCCAGCTCAGCGCAGCTCCTTAGCCAGGTGAGCCAGCCCTGCTGGGCTCGCAGAGGTGTCCTTGCCCGTGCTGCTCCTCTGGCTGCTTCCTCTGCGGGATTTTTCAGGAGGGCTCCATCAGGGCTTCTGCCGCCACCCAAGTTACAGCTTCCATCACGATCCAGCGCAGGGCTGAGCGTTCCCAGCGGCACAGCCTCGTGGCTGATGTTTGCAGCGCCGGTCGGTGCTCTGGGTTTGCTCAGTGCTGTGGGAGACAGTCAGCGGCTGTAAGTGACAGGGGGACCGTAAAAGCCTTTCACGGCAGCGTGTCCTGCTCAGCAGAACTTTGGATTTCAGTCAATCCCTTCTTGATTTACCTCCTCTTCTCCATGCTGCCGTGAAAAGAGAATGAGTGTTTCTGGATCTTAGGCGGCAGAGAGGGAGAAGGGAAGCACTCCAAAGGCTCCCGTGGAGCTGGCAAAAATCTCTGGCTGATGCTCTTGCCTGCCAGATCTCCAAGCCCTGGCCTGTGCCACGGGCTGCAGCTCACCCTGCTTCCGTCAGCGCTGGAGTGAGGAAGTAAAAGGGTGGAGAAGGGCTGGAGGCACCCAGAGGCTTCACCAAAGCAAGGGCCCGCAGGGATGGCCGTGTGCCTCGACCGCTCTCAGCTGAGCAGGAAGGGCGTCCTGCCCACAGGAATGCAGACATCCCCAGCTTCTCGTGCAAAGTCAAATTAAGGCAGGGGATCTCGAGTGTGTCTGGGGGGGGAATAAAGCAAAACCGACACCATTCCTCAGGTGTTTTGAAATGGTCTTGAGAGGCAGGCCTGGCCTGCGTACGTGCAGTGCTGCTCAGCATCAGCAGGCTCCTCGCCGTGACGCTCGCCTTCTCCTCCGTCCACAGGAGGAGTCTCTCAGGAGGAAAAGGCAGCAGCTCCTGGACGAAGACAGACGGACTGAGCTGGAAAGAGATGTACGTGTGCTTTAGCTCTGGAGGGGTGCTGCGTGCTTTTCCTTTTGGGGGTGCGGGGGGCACGCTACGACGCGGCTCTACAGAAGCAAACGGTGGTTTCTGGATTGTGCGGCTGAGAATCCCTCCCCGCCTCAGCCTGGAGCGCCGCCCTGCTGGGAGTGCCGTTAGCTCTGAGCTGCTCCCCAAAAAGGAGGGAGAGCCCTGTTCTTCCAGGACCCCGTGGGGTGCGTGCATTTGCAGCTCCGGGACCGCCTGTGAACTGGGCGAGCAGCAAGTCTCTCGCACGGTGTGCGCCTTTCATTTCGGCGTTGGGGAAACTACCGCGGGGGCTTCTTTGGTTTTCCTCTAGGAAGCTGCTTTAGCTTCTCAACTCCGGCTGGAGGAGAACAGGAAGGAACACGCCAGCCTCCTCGAGTCCATCCGGCAGCTGCGCAGGTCTCTTGAAGAGCTCCAGGACCAGAAAGCTGAGCTGGAGGCCCAGGTGGACTTGTTGCAGACCCGAAGCCAGAGGCTGCAGAAACGCATCAGGTGCGTGCATGAGAAATCTCCTCGAATGCAACAAATCGACCCTGTGCTCCGAAGGGAAACCTCTCTCACCTAACTCGGGCCTCTCCCTTCCCTCCGAGCTTCTCGTGTGTTGGGCCCTGCTCCTTCAGAATCCTAACGGTGCTTTTGATGCACGTCCAGGGCGTGGAGGTCTGGTTCCAGCTCTGTTAATAACTCACCGTGGAAACGTGTCCCTTCGCCTCTGCTTGTCAGCTTCATTTGTTTGTCTTCTCCGCATCTGTCTGGGGAGGTTGATAAGGTGCTTGGGGGGGGGCGCTGACATTCCAAAGAAAGATTGTGCTCAGCTAGCAGAGCTGCTGCGCCAGGGTGAGGAGCAATGTCCCCCTGCCCAGCCAGGGGTTATGCCTGACATCACACCGCAGACCCGGTTTGTCTTGCAACCCAGCCCGTGGTTCTTTCCCTCCTGGAAACGGGAGGTCCCTTGCACGCCGTTGCAGATGTGTTCCTGCTCTAACCACGTGCTGTTGCCTTTTCTCGGGGCAGCGAGCTGGAGGCAGCTGTCGGGAGCAAACAGCAGACCTTGAAAGAACTGGAGGCAGAAGAAAGCGTGGAATCTCCGAGAAGGAAAGCTGAGCTCCACGTTGAAGACCTGAGGGGAACTGTTCAGGCTGTGAGTAAAGCAGACTGCAAAGGTGGTTGCCTCGTGAGATCTGAGGCTGTAACTCCCTTGAAAATCCCAGCTCTTGTTCCTTCTGCCTGAACTCGTCGGAGGTGCAGCGGTGCACTTTTCTTTGCCAGGGGACATCAGTACCTTCAGCAGTACGTGCTGATGTCTGTCTGGTGTTAGCGGGGGGAAAGGAGCGGCGGATACTTGAGTGCCCTTGGAGTCAAAAGCAGGGCCTGAGCCAGCGGTAGAAACGTCTTTGTGACTTTTTAAAAGTCACGGGGAGAACATCGCTGGCACCGGTCTCGCATCTGGGCAGTACCATGGCGACCTCAATCTGAATTTTTGCTCCTAATTGGATTCTTAGGGGATCCTGGGGTTCTGTTTCCATACATCTTCTTAGTTTTTGAAATGTCTCAACCCTTCAGCACTCCTCCAGAGAGCCTGCTTCCCCCGCCTCTCCGAGCCATGAGGACAGCCACTTCCAGCTTGATCGGTGAGTATCTGCTCGCCAGCCGCTTCTGCAGAACGGTTTTGCTTTGTTTTTACAAGCAAATGGTTTGGCGTGGCTTTACGCGCGTTGCCCTGTCGGGCCGGTTGTGGGGAGGGTGCTGCACGAGGCTTGCAGGATGGCACAGCCAGGAGCATGCCCGTCTCTTGTGTGTAGTGTCAGGAGCTACATCTCCGCAGAGGGGATCTCCATCCGGAATGCCAAGGAGTTCCTGGTGCGCCAGACCCGCACCATGAGGAAGAAGCACGCGGCACTGAAAGCTGCAAAGCAGCAGTGGCACCAAGATATACAGAAGGCACAGGAGGTGGTGCAGGATCCCGCCAGCTCCCAGCTCCTGGAGGGAGTGCGCAAGAACCTGGAAGAGGTGAGCCCCCGGGCACCGCCTGCGTTCGGATGGCGGCGCCCACAAAGGAACCCGCAGCCCTGGGATGCAGGGCTAGGTTAACGGTTGGACGTGATGATCTTAAAGGTCTTTTCCAACCTAGGCGATTCTATGACCGATCCCTGGCTCTGCAGGAGCAGTGACAGGCAGCTGGGGGTGTTCAGGCCTCCTGGAAACCGGCTCTTGCCTGGTTTTTATGTTAGATAGGCAGTGTTTGTCCCTGCTTGTGTCTTCCTCGTCGTACCACAAGGGTTAGAGTCCTTCCCCTCTCAGGCCGGCTCTCAGGCTGAGGAGCGGGCTTAGTGAGACCCTAGCCTAGGCTTCGGGTCGCAGCGGTGTTCCTGTGCGTCAGTCGAGCGGCCGAGAGGGCCGGAGTGTGCGTGGTAGCCCACGGCTAATGGAGCACGCTGCCATAGTTTCGGTTCTCTTTCGCCATGCACGCTTTGGACGAGGAAGGCTCCGCGAAGCAGGCCCTGCAGCGCAGCCGGTGCTCAGGAGCTTGCTGGAGTCCAGGAGCTTGATCTCCTGGGACCTTAAAAATGGAGAAAGCATTTGGTAGTGAAAGAGGAAAAGGAAGTGAAAGGTATCCGTCCCACCGGTAGGTACAAATTTATGGTTGTAGCTCTACAGAGGTTTCACCCTGGCTTGGAAAAGGGTTCTCGAGCACTTGCCAGCTCTGCTGATACGCCAGCCGAAGGCAGGGAAGATGATAGTTTCCTTCACTGGTGACAGAGCGTGCTTGTGTTGGCAGAACCAAAGCTGTTGACCCTGTTGGATGCAGGGTTTGGAAGCGAAAGCTCCTTTTCCTTGGGGCGAACGCATGCTCTGCCCTCCGCTTCCCATGCTTTCCAAGGCTTGGGAGCAGTTTTACTCCGGCAGCGTGATTTCCCGCGCCGAGTAGAAGTGCGATAATGAAAGTCACCGCGACCGCTAACGTAGATTATCTCCCGTCGTTCTCGTTTGATTTCCCTCCTCGGCCTGGCTGTGGATCCACTGCAGGAAGCAAAGCAGTTGGACGAGATGAAGTCGGCCATGCGGAAAGGGCAGGCTCTGCTGAGGAAGAAAGAAGAGAAACTCAGCCAGCTGGAGTCCTCGCTGCTGGAGGAGGTAACCACCGGCACCACCGCTGTCGCGTGGGCCAGCCCAGCTGCCCTCCCACCCTGCCCGGAGCTCGTGGCCTCCTGCCCTCGGCTGGAGTCTCTGCAGGGCTTCTGGTCCCTGGGAGGGCGGGGGGCTGGTGGCCAGAGACCGCCGCTTGCCAGCGGAGCTGCATTTTAGAAACACCTTTTCTGACTGCGGAACGGGGTGTCCGTCTGAGCACGGTGGGTGAGGGGAGGCCGGTCACCAAGGTGGGGAGAATGACAACCGTAACTGACCCATTGAACTGGCAATTCGCCCGGTCTGCGGCCAACGGGACAAACGGGGGCTGGGGCTTGGCATGGAGACCGTCCTCCACGGCGGCGGCGTGCCAGGCAGGGCTGCTGGCGGCGGGGATGGGCTCGGGTGGGGAGACCCCGCTGAGTGCTCCCGCTTGCGAGAAGCTTGTTTGTTAGGTCGGAAATGAATCGCCGTTAACACCGATATGCTGGAGTGTCCTCCCACAGAAACTAAACCCTGACCTCAGAATGTGTAGATGTCTTATTAACTGTCTGTAGCCTGGTCAGGATGGCAAACACTGTGCCCTCCCTCTGCCGATGGCATCTGGACTCACTGTTAAGCGTGTGGATAGAGAAAGCAGCCTGAAAAAGCCGCGTGATTTGAGCCTAGAGAAAACAAGGGCAGGTCACCTCGTGTGAGCTGGGACGGAGTCTGCTTTCCTGACCAAGGCAAGCCTTGGAAGCTGTTCAGCTCTGCCCGGGACCACGTGGCCATAGGCAGGGCAGCAGCAGATGCAAGAGCACGAGACCTTTGATGGTCAAGCACTTGTCCTTGGTGCAGAGAGAGGATCCAGCCCGTGCAAGAGCGTTGAGGCTTATTTAAAGCGCAGAACACTTTGACGTCTGCCTAGAAGAGCCCATTCACATGGCTGTTAGCTTTGGCCTCCAGCGCACGCCTGTGCTTCTTCCGTAGGCCAAGCGGTCTCCTGACGTTCAGATTTTGCTGTCGGGGACTGAAGCTGAGCCTGCTTTCGCTCGGCCTATGCTTGCCTGTGCAGTCCAGCCTGCGTCGAATAGCTTTAGGCGGTGTTCCGGTGCCTTTCATGTTTGAGGGACAGAACGGCAGGTTTTAATGGCGTTGTTTTCCTTCTTTTGACCAGCTTTCAGATGAAGACACGCTAAAGAGTGCTGCGTGCAAGAAGGTGGTGACTTTTGATCTCAGCACCTCTGAGGACACAAACAGCACCTCCAGTGTAATTCTGCACGCGCCTAAACGTAAGTGCCCGATGGGCTTGATGTGCTGTGCCTGGTGTGTAATGCTCTCGACGTGGCTCTGGCTTTCCTCCCACCTCCCCCATGGACCTTCTGCCCTTGTGCTCACTGGAGACTGTCCGTGACTGGGACTGCTCTGGATGCAATAGAGTATTTGAGAAACTCAATTCCCGCCTGTGGCGGCCGATGAGGGGGGAGGAATCTGCGTGTGAACTCGCCTTTTAAATCTCTACCTGTGTTTTTAGAGTGGATTATAAAGCCTGGCTTCCGCTCTCCCCTCTGCTGTTGCAGAACTGTATTGCTCTTCTGCCAGGGTCCGGGCTTCCTCTTCCTCGCACCTCCGGCAGGACAGGCTGCTGCAGTTCCCTCTGCCTGCTGCTTGTGCCTCTGTTCGCCTTCAGCTGCCCGCGGCTGGAGTTGTGCGGGTGGAAGAAGGGCTCCCCATCAACCGCCAGGAAGGCAGGAAGGTTGTGCTGCTTGCAGAAAGGCTGGCAAGGCTGAAGCTTAAAGAAAACTGGGAAAACTTCCCCAAGGCGACAGGCTGCCCAGCCTGGGGTCGGATCTCGGACCCGGATCAGTAAAATTCCCGCAGGCACACGGGAAACTTAAGCGTTCTGTCTTGCCACAAGATGAGAGCCCCTGTGCCAGCACAGTCCTGTGGGTCCTACCTGCAGCCCGGCTGCTGGCCCAGAGCTTTGCTTTGCGTGGAGTGTAACCGCTCCGTCCTGCCTCCTGCTGTCTGTCTGCTCTGGAAGAGACTTTAATTACAGCATGATCGCCCGTGCCAGGGTCTCACCCGAGAGGCAGGGTGCAGCGCAGCGGGGGCTTTCAGCGTGGGGGGCGCAGCTCTTGAGAGGGTTTGCCATTTGCAAGGGAATCGCCGTTAGGTGAGCGGCCCTGTGGCCCAGGGCACAGCAGAACTCCGAGGGACGGAGCGGGGAGGTGGAACAGAGGCGCCGAGGCACATCCAGGCTGTCCTGCAGCACCGGAGGATCTCGGCCTCGCTGCCTTGTTCCTCCTCCACTTTGTGCCCCAGCAGCCGCCGAGGCACAAACCCTCGCTGTCAGTCTGTGTCTCCCCCGTTGGCTGCAAAGCCAGGTTTTTGCATCCGTAGCCCACTGAGCACGCAGGGATCATTCAGCCCGCAGGGCAACACACGGTGAGGGAGGCAGCGTCTCCCTCGCCTTCCCAGTGATCCCTTTTTTCCCCTCTCTTCTGCCAGTTGGTTTGAGAACCGATTTACAGCCTGTCCCCCAGCCGCACAAGATCGAGTACTTGAAGGAGTCCCTGCAGCATATCACGAATGAACTGAAAGGGGTCCTCGGCCTCTTGGACTCGCTGAACAGTCACCAGTCTCCGCTCTTCGCCTCGACGCCCTGCGAGGGCGTCCCTCTGCCCACGTATGCCTCCTTGGCAGGACTGCAGGCAGGGGCCTCCCTGGTGCCCCCCACCGGGGTGCCTCTGGTCAACCAGTGGGCCCGGAGCACTGGGCTGAGCTCCAGTCGCTCGTTCGCAGCCGGACAGTCAGTGGACAGCATGCTGGCAGAGAAATGGCACAAGTATTTCCCAGGTAGGTCTCCTGTTAACCCATCTCGCCTACGACTTTGGATTTCACAGCCCCGCAGGTTCCAAGCGGCTCACCCTTCCGATGCTGCTGATGGGAAGGGTGCTAATGAGATAAGGATGGAGAACCTTGTTCCAGGAGGTGCCGCGTACGGCTGACCTTTTCATCCTGCTTCTGGAGCAGCTCAGCCTTTTGCGTGCAGCCAAGAAAGCAGCTCTTAGCAAAGGAGGGAGCGAAAGGAGGCAGCCCTGCTGCACCGGGAGCCTCCCGGGAATTGCAGACAGGGTTTGCCTTCTCGGTTTCCTCAACACTGCTGTGTCCTCAGCCGCCAGCTCAGCCTCTATGGACACGCTGTCCTTACTACAAGAAAGATGCAAAGCCTACTGATTTTTTGGGGGTCTGTATTTAACGTCTCTTTTCCAGGGGGATTCCCGTCGCTCAGTGGAAGTTCCAAGCCTCTGGACAGCAAGCTGGGATACGTACCTGCAGAGTAAGGGGCTTTTGCCTTCCGTTGTTGCTTCATTGTGCTGCGTCTGTTTCCCTGCAATGATTCATAGGTGACATCGTATAACAAGTAGATAACAAAATCAGGAGCTACAGCTGTAGCAGGTAGATACCCAGCAGTTATTCACCGCCACGTGCTTGGCACTGCCTTGTAGCTTTGGCGGTGAAGCTGCCGTCGTAGCTGTGCCGATAGCCCTCATCTCAGGACCAGGGCCCAAGGGTGCCGGCGCCGGCCCGTGCCGGCTCTGCCGCGAGAGGCGATGCCGCGTGGGTGGAGTGGGGGCTGCCACCCAGGTCTTTCTGCGCAGCCCAAAAGGGAGGAGAGCAGCCTGCTAGTGGGGGGCTGCTGCGGCTTTTCCCTGGGATGGGGACGGGCAGAGGACTTTGAGGTGCCAGGAGGTTGCTTTTTGTTGACCGGGGCTCTTTCTGTAGCAGCCCATCCTTGCCTTTGCCGTTTCTGAGGCTGGTCCTGCCCAGAGCCCTCTTTCCCACTGCGCTCTTTCTCTCATGCAACAGCGAGCAAATACGGCTGTTCCAGCACGCCCAGCTCCAGAGCCGAGAGTCGGACAAGATGAGTATTCAGGGAATGATTGAGACCAACAAGAAATGGCTAGAAGACTTCAAGAGGGATTCAACAGCGTATCCTTGGCCTGGGTCTGGTCTCTTCCTGCACTCCAGCGTCCCGCAACCGGTGGGAGGAGACAGTGGGAGGTCAGCGGGGAGCGAGCACTAGAGCACCGAACAGCAATTTCGAAGCTGTAGCCCCTATTTTAG